GTTTTTTAGCTACTTGTTGTCCTCTCATCAGTGAACCAGCAGCAGGCCGATAATTGCAGCCAGGTAGTCCAGGTATTCAGTGCATCTAAGTTCTGTTCTTTTGCAGCTCCATTCAGTAGTTAGGCAGCTACTACGTGTGTTTACTTTGTGGCATGTTGCTTTCAAGAAATAGTGAACTACTAATCAAGCAATGATTAGCTCATCAATGAGTTCTAGCTATTTTATTTGTCTTTTGCTTGATCAAGTGCTTGGTGTTGCTTTGTTTAGTATTCATGCTGTTCATTTTTGTTGTACATTAGTTCTCACATTTGCTAGTGATGTGTAGATTGCAGTCTTTTAGCTATGTCCAATGATCTGATTCTAGTTAAATTGGTTATTTCCTAGAGTGTTTTTGGGAAATTCCTAATTGTTTCCACTATACCAGGAAAGATCATCATGTCGAGCTATCATTGTCGATTGCTTTTAAAAACCAACAGTAATAGTGATAGAACAACCGACAATGATAAGCTATGTACTTATCACTGCCGATTGAAGCCACTAACCGGCAATGACCTTTCACTGCAGAGTCGTGGTTTGAACTGATAGTAATAGGTTGTTTGCAAAAAAAAATAACTCTTTCATATAAAATCGGATTAAGATAAACTTATATCAAAATTGTAGAGCTTAAAGAGACCTAAAACTTACTTTGTAATTGACAACTTTTTAATTTGATATGATTTACAAGTCCAAATATAAGTTCTCGGATTAGATTTCAGATAATTAACAATATTAAATGGAGATAAAGTCAAAGTTAAAGTCAAAGTTGTAGTACTCGACGAGATCTACAACTTTGCAGTTAACAACATTTTTATTTAAGATCGTTTGGAGTGTCAAATATACAATATAAGATTCGAAGTTATGTATTAAAAGGATAGCATCAGCTGTACAACCACATTGTCACGTAGCCCAGCTAGTATGTGCGCTCGAGGGAATATGGATGTTGAGGTCTCGAATTTGAATCCTAAGAAAAACATATTTTTCTAATTTTACCACTTATATGTTTTGACATAGTATGCTAGGGTCGACACACCACAAGTCGGTATATGTGTGACCTTGGCAATTATTAAAAGAGGCGTGTGTTGGGGTATTAACCAGGGTATAGACCAAATTTTCTTCTTAGCAAAGAATTTTAATCGACTCCTATTCAACCTGTTTATACTAAAATTTAGAAAGAAGAATACGGAACTCGAAGCTTCTAAGATCGTGTCAATCAAGGAATCAATTGCATAAGGATCGATATCAGTTGATTCAGATGCGGCACTGGAATCGGCTCTCTTTGAATGACGTCAGCAAATAACGACAATGAGCTACGGTTGGCGTCGGGAAATATATGTCAAACTCTACGAAAAGGAAAAGATTATGGTCCAAGTTATCTTAAGTTAGAAATATTTTCTTTTATATCAAAGATTGTAATGAGTCGTACTTGGGTAGAATTCATGCTTAGTCTACGGGTATAAATATTGGACCCCGGCTATTGTAAAAAGGACATCAATCCAATCAATACAAGTTATTTTTTTTGGCTTTACGCCAGCCCTTAGGAGTAGGAGTAGTGTAGATCTCGACGAGTTCTTCAACAAGCAGGGCTGCATCGGTTCGGCCGACCTCTGGCTTGTCTGTAAGTACCGTCATGGCTTATACTTTTGTTTGTATGGCTGTATCGGTTAAATTCAACCTCCACTGCGAACTTTAGTATAAGCTAGTTATCGACTCTTATCTACTTCAAATACGACTGCATCGGTTAAGTTCGACCTCCACTGTTTAAATTAGATTAAGGTCAAATTATCGGTTCTACCTAAGAGTGGCATCATTTGGGTAGATTCATTAAATTACCGATTTTGCTGAAGTTCTTATTGTTATTAGTTTTCATCAACATCAATCTGCCCGATCGAAATCGATCTAGATCGGTCTTATATCCTTTTAGTCCGTCGTTTGCTTTGTTACAACACGATGTTCCTTACTTTGAGCGATGGATTACGTTTTATCGGTTGTTCTACTTCGATCTTGATCGTGCATAGTACGCGGTTAAGGCACGTATGCTCTTGAAGAGATTTGCTGGCTAGTTAAATCTGGTCTATAGTTCGTTGTTATGGCTGCAACGATCCGGTCGATCCCCACTGATGACATTTTAGATTGGAGGATGCTAGTTGGTAGATTTGTTCTCGATCAGGCGTGACCTTAACTGTTTGCTATGCCTGCATCGGCTAAATAGCTGATCGTCTATGCTTTAACGCCTACAGTGTGTCTCTATGATTCTGTTAAATGTGTATATGTTTGTGTACTTTAAAGGTTCGATTTGTTGTCTTTATCACGACTGCCATCGATCCGATCGAACCCCACTGTTAGAGATAGCATGTTAAGTCTGATGAGTTTATAGGTTTATCCATATTAAATAGTCCCTTTTCACCCGAATCGGCTCCCTCGAGCTTTCACACACATAGCATGTCTTTCGAAAAGCGTGTCAACGTATAGATAGTTTTACGAATTCTTTGGTTTTAATTTGTTATTATCATCATAGCTACCATCGATCCGGTCGACCCTCACTGTTGATGGTAACAGATTAAATTCAGATCGTTTGTAGGTCCATTTGCACTAGACAGTCGATTCGTTCGCATGCTATGTCCTTTCTCGTTAGATACATCGGCTCAATACTTTACAATGGTAATATCCACCTAGCTGATGATTGTGTTTATATCCACATGCATTGTACTTGTCAATATAAAATCAATCGCGACCCATGAGCTTTACAGTCCGTAACAATCGATTTCTGTGCGTATCGGTTATTTAGTCGATTTTTCTTGTCTGGCTGCTCCCGAAGCGGCACACTTGAAACTGTCTAGGGCAAAACCGGCATGTTCCACCTTAAATTACTGATAAACTTTCTCTCATTGTCAATTATATGTCAAATTGATTGGCACGTCTCGGGAGGAATTCGCAGGATCGGTTAGCCCTGCGTTGAAGCCAAACGGATCTCCAGCCTTGCTCCATCAAGCAGATCCTTCCTGTGTCCCTGGCACGCCTCGGGAGGAATTCTCAGGATCGGTTAGCCCTGCGTTGAAGCCAAACGGATCTCCAGCCTTAGCTCCATCAAGCAGATCCTTCATGTGCCCGGCGCATCGACACATATTTGCGCCGACACAACCCCTCTTCTCCTCCCAACTCCGATCGCCATTTTGGTCCTTGACTTGCAAACTACAAACCACAGAAGGTCTTTACCACCACAAATGTTTTTAAGAGAATTTTCTGAAAATCTCTCCTGTTGATTTCTGATAAATAATAAAATCTAAACCTTTCTCTAAAAGTTTAGATTAGTCCGACACTTTCATTTGATCACCTCTAAATTAATCCCCTTCTTGATTGTACTTTTCTTCTCCTTTGAACTTGACTTTTTTTTTTTCTTTCTTTCTAGGGACAACGTGCAGATCACCAAAATCAACAATATCCCATCACTCAACCCTCGGCTACTTCGCCGCACAAATGGTTAATTCTGTATCTTAATGCCTCTTGTAAACATTTCCTGTCTAAGTTTGGTGATACCCGAAGCCTAGCAGCTTCAGCTAGATGTAAATCGAGAGTTTCCTCGTTGCTGAGGAACTAATGTTCGATGATGAGCCACGCGGCGTGTAGGTGGTGTTTCTGCGGATCTGCAAGACCTCCATAAACTCTGGGGGAGACGGTGCTGTAGATCCACGACGACAACATAACGCCGTCCATGCAGGGACGTCGAGGTGGGCGCCATGCCGGCATTGGTCATCAGATATTCAGATGGTCGGTGAGAGAGAGAGAGTTCCATTCGAGGGTGAGCAGGACAAGATCGTCACGCCGGCGGACACTTGTAGTTGTAGTTACCTCTCTCTGCTGAGCCCCCGCCGCAACCCCGCCGGGCTGAGCCCCCGCCGTAACCCCGCCGATGGCCACTCCGGCCCCGGCGTCCCCAGCCAAAATCGCTGGTTGTTTGCCGCTCATGCACCGGCGCCCACTTCCTGTGCTGCGCCCGTTCCCTCCCACGACGCCATGGAGGACGGGTCGTCTTCCAGCCGGTCCTAGCCCGGGTTCGCGCTGCTGACTATCACTGCTGGCAACGGCTGCAGCCCAAGCTTTGGCTGTGTAGCAACTCCAGTGGCCGCCATCCCTTCCTCTGAGCTGGAGCTGGAAGTGGGTGGCTTTTGCGGAACTCGCCTGCAACCTGCTCGACGATTTGCCGGAACGGGAAACTGAAGAGAGCACCGTCGCCTGGAGTTTCTCCTCCATGCTGGAGCCTAGCTCTTCACCACGTCGTCTCTTGGTCGACATCGATAGCTGTGCTTCTTCGCCTGTAAGCTCCCTCTACTAGATCATGGCTCTCCCGGGTCTCAGCTTTCGTCCTGGCCATGGTGTTCAGTCTGCGATTCAGCAGAAGTTTGGCCTCTCTGTTTCGCCTGTTGGCTCTTTTCGTGTTCCTTTCTTCTTGGTTGCCTCGTTTGGTCACTGCAAGTTTAGGCTTTGCCCCTTTTCGGTTGGTTAGATTCTCCAAGCCACCATTGGGGGTTCGGCCTCTGGCTTTGATGTGATTCAGCTTGGTGATCGTGTTTTCCGCTTTTCGGTTGCTTCTAAGCTGGTGGGCTTTCATATTTTTAGGCTAAAAAGTTTTTTTCTGTTCTTCCTATAAAATCTTATTTCATCTTTGGGGTAATGGTGGCCCTCGTTGGGATCTGAAACTTGTTAAGTTTCCCAAGGAAGAAGAAGCAACTTGGTTAGAGGTCCGGTGGAATTCTTCTTTAAAAAAACATTCATCAGCTACAGTTGCAGATCAAAGAAACAATAACTTCAGCAAACATCACACATTTGCAGACGCAGTGAAGAATGGTTTTTTAACAGGTGCGAATCGTATTCCTCTGAAAGAAAACAGAGCTTCTGGGAGAGTATCGGCTTTTGCTAGATTACAGTTTCCAACCTCAAAGCAGTTCCGAGCTTCTTTTCATGGCATGGATGATTCAGTTCATGCTCAGAGCCAACCAGATTTTAGTCAGGGGAGAGCGCTTCAGGACAATGGTAATGAAGATCCAACTTTGAATTTGAAGATGGGTCATCCCTCTGCGACACAATATCCATCAAGGGGAAGTATTCCCGGGATTTGCTTGCGTTGTCTCTCTGACAAGCATCCAAGGCGTGCTTGCAGGAGCCCAATCAAATGTCTGGCATGCATGGGTTGGGGGCATATTGTAGTTAATTGCACCGTTCACAACCATCGGAGCCATCGGAGCTACATGCGCACTGAGCCTTCAATTCACAATAAAGAAAAGGGCGACCTCGTGCAGCCCAAGTTGTTTTCCAAGGCCGCGTGCATGGACCTTGGGCCGAGTACAAGCAACCCACCGCGCTTTCACTCCTTTGTTCATTGGTGGAAAGTTTCGCCTCTGTATCAATCCTCAGTGAGCCCGCCGGAGCCGGTCGTAATACCATGTAAATTTCATAGCTCTTCAATAATGGTGGGCCATAACAAAGTCACGACCCACAATGCAGCGACACAAGCTGAGGTGAACACTGAGTTAACTCTAGGGGGCGCTTTGCCTTCCATGGCTATTAACAGAGTTACACCCCGCCGTACAAATGGAGCTTCAGAGTCTCAAGAAAAACCCATTCCAGCTGAAGAAAACCTCACTCAAGCTCATACTTTTGTCACAGAGTCTCAAGAAAACCCCATTCCTTTTGATTTTTTTGGTTTGGGGCAGCAGGCTCCGGACCACCGGGAAGAAAACCAACATCAGCAGAACCAGGGACAAATTGGAAATGCAATGAATGGGGAAGCTGCTCCTCAGGATAATAATGGTTGGCTCCAGTGGTCTGAAAATTTATCAGCAGTTCAACAGGGTGAAGTGCAGCTACAAGCTCCTGGGATGGAAATAAATCTGAATGTTCCACCACTTGTTCTTCTCCAGAACCTCAATGACCCCCCAATGATAGATGATGCTCAGGAGGTATTGATTTACCAGGTATCCGAGCAAACCAGGCACAGAACAACTGGGAGCCACAACAGGGAGCTAATCAGTTAGTAGAGCAGGAAATAATGCTGCAACAGCCTACTCTGTCTGTCATCCAAGAAGAGGTGGCTGAAAATGAGGTAGAGGTGGTACCTGTTCATCTGCTGAGAAAGGAAAACAATTCTTTGCACCGAGAAATTCCTGACGATGAGCTCATGGATGACAATGAGATTCAAGAGGCCCAAAATGAGCAACTCATGGACTGGCAGCAAAACGAAGTTGCTCAGGCTGAAAATATTCAGATAGGGATGGTCAGGATTATTGGCAGCTACCATCCAAATCAGTTTCCTTTTCAGAAAGACATATTCCCTTCTACTGATGTCCCCAAAAAGCTTGGTTTGCAGAAAGATTTGGTCAACCAAGGCAGTGATCCAAGCACAGAGAAAGTTCTGGTGGAGATGCCAAAGGGATGGGTCGATTTCTTTGATTGCTTGCTTCACTCTCCTCATCATTTTGACTGGACAAGCAAACTCAATGTTGGTTTAGCTTCATGTCTGCAACATCAGGGAGAAGCCTCAACACTTCTGATCCCCAGATCCTGCCCTAAGAACCACATAACTTGTGGCAAACTGCTCGAGCCACCAGTTCTGCAGATTTATGAAGATGACTTCAGTCAAAATATGGAAACCCCCAAGAAAAAAGCTAAAATATCAAAAGCTAAATCATCAATAGTGGACACTGAAGTCAGAAGGAGAAACAGGGCGAGAGAAAAAACAAATGGCTTCAAGAGCAACCAGTGTAGAGTCAAGAACTGCCTAGGTTGTTCCATCAATCCTCCTACCCTGTCAATGGAGAACTTGAAGAAAATTGGGGCTGAATTCTGCCAGTTTGATCCAGACCTCCTTCAAGAACAGCTAACTGCAAAGAAGAACAAGCCCTCTCCAATCAGCAAGAAGAAGAACAAAAGAAGTGGAACAGGAAATGTTAATGAAGATGGTGAAGCAGAACCTGTGAACAATAAAGAGAAGGGTGACAATGACACCAAGAATGATGAAAAAATCAGTAAGGAGAAGAAGAAGCCAAGCAAGGGAAATGAAGAAGCCTAATTTCTCTGCTTTCCTCGGTTGCTTTAGTCCTTTTGTTAAGGATGGGGACTTGGCTCTCCCATCAGATGTGCTTCAATTCATTTTGTCAATCCAATGACAAGTAGACTTTGGAAGGTGCTGTGCTGGAATGTTAGGGGTGTGAATGCTGATAAGAAATGGAACTCTATCAGAGATAAAGTGCTATAAAGCAACTGTGATATTGTTTGTCTTCAGGAGACAAAAAGGGAGACGATAGACCTAAGCTTTATCAGAAACATTTGCCCCCAAGCTTTTGACTCTTTTGTCTTCAGACCATCTCTGGGGGCTTCGGGGGGAATTGTAGTAATTTGGAAAAGTGCAGTTTTTAGTGGTACAGAGATTTTCCAGAATGAATTTGCAATATCAACTGAATTTACCTCAAGGATCAATGATGAGAGCTGGGTATTAAGAACTGTGTATGCTCCTTGTACATCCAATGGCAAAAGAGATTTTCTGGAATGGTTCAAAAACATCCAAATGCCAGATCACATAGATTGGCTCATTTTTGGAGACTTCAACCTTATTAGGAAACCTGAAGACAAAAATAAGGAGGGGGTGATATCTCTGAAATGTACCATTTTAATGAGGCCATCAGTATGCTAGGCTTGATTGAGATTCCATTGCATGGCAAACAGTATACATGGACAAATAAACAGTTCAACCCTCTGTTGGAAAGATTGGACTGGTTTTTTACCTCAAGCTCCTGGACAACAAAATACCCTAGAACTTTAGTGAAGGCACTTGTGATGGAGACCTCTGACCACTGGCCATGTGTGGTTGAGATTGACTCCAAAGTCCCAAAAGGCAGCATCTTCAGGTTTGAGAGCTACTGGCTGAATAGGGAGGACTTCATTCCAATTCTTCTAAATGGTTGGCCTGATACTCCCCTGCACACTGATCCAGCAAGAAACATTTCAGGAAAGTTTAAGAATCTCAGGAGAATAATTAAACAATGGAAAGCAAACATTCCAAATCTTTCAGCAGCAATATCTAATGTAAAGTCTCTGCTATATCTGTTGGAAACAATTGAAAGTCTTAGGGACTTGTCTCTCCTAGAGTGGAATTTTAGAAACATGCTCAGTGATAAGTTGATCTCTTTGCTCAAACAGCAGAAAAGCTATTGGAAGCAAAGGGGGAAAATAAATTGGGTAAAAGAGGGTGATGCCAATACTAGATATTTTCATGCCCATGCAACAATCAGAAATAGACAAAACACTATTGCACTGTTGCAGGAAGGGACAGAAGATTTCTACTCAAGTCATGAGGACAAAGCAAGAGTGATTTGGGAAAGTTTCAAAGAGAGATTGGGGAAGTCAGAATTTAATGATATGTTTTTCAATCTAGATGAAATCCTTTCCCCTGATGAAAACCTGTCAGACCTTGAGGTACCCTTCACTAAAATAGAGATTGACCAAGTAGTTGCTAAGCTTCCAAACAACAAATCTCTAGGCCCGGATGGTTTCAACAATGAATTTATTAAGGGTTGTTGGCCACTGATCTCCCAGGACTTTTACAGGCTGTGTGAAGCTTTCTTCTGAAATGATATTTGCTTTCAAAGTATTAATTCCTCTTTCATCACCCTAATCCCAAAAAAGGAGGGACCCCTTATAGTTTCTGTGATAGGAACCGAGGTTCCTCCTCTGACCGAGCGTAGGTTGTAGCGGTGGGTGATCGGGGGCTGAGGCTTAAACCGCGATGGACCACGGCGGGGCGCCGTGATCTCGCGAAGGGAGAAGGCGGCTAGGGTTTCTCCCGGCTCCCTGAGGAAGCCGGAAACAATAATTGTTTATGCTTCCTTTCCTCAATAGAGTTTACAGGTATTTATATGTCTCTGAATAATAATAATAGAAAATAACTCTAATATTATGTAAAATATGATAAATATGGGCCTTGAGCCCCTAACCCCTTGGCATCCTCTAGCCACCTTTGGGGGCCTTCGCTTTGAGTCTTTGGATGCCGGTCATAACATCTCTCCCGCCTTCTCAAACAGCTCGTCCTCGAGCTGGAAGTCGGGGTAGAAGGAGCGGAACTCGTCGACGGACTCCCATGTCGCATCCTCTTCTGGAAAACCATGCCACTGGATCAGCACCTACCAGGTGTCACGGCGTCGCTGGACACGTAGCGCCTTGGCCGGGCGCAGAGTGTAGTGTAACGGCCGTCAAAGGTCGGCGCCAGTCGGGTTGGCCGGCGTTCTTTGGAGCGTCATCGCGGGGGCGCTTGAGCAATCCCATGTGGAAGACATCATGAAGACGGGCACCCTCGGGCAACAGAGACGATACGCTACCGCTCCAAGACGCCAAGACGCGAACGGCCCGGCATAGCGAGGACCGAGTTTGCCCTTGGCCCCTGGAGAGAGTGCATGGGGTCATGCGGTTGAGCGGCCGTAGCCACACCCGATCGCCCACACGAACTCGACGTCGCGGTGGCCGACATCATAATATTTTTTGGACAATTGCTGAGCCTGCAAAAGACGTTGGCGCACCTCGGCGAGGATCTCATCACGGGACTGAAGAAGCGCATCTGCAGCCTCGGTCCGAGCTGTACCCGGCGAATAGGGCAGCGGCGGAGGAGGGCGACCGTAGACGACCTCAAACGGTGTGGCGCGAAGAGCAGTGTGGAAGGAGGTGTTGTAGCAGTACTCCGCCCACGACAGCCAATCCACCCACGCGCGGGGGCGATCCCCCGTCACACAACGGAGGTACATGGCGATGACCTTGTTCACCACTTCGGACTGGCCATCCGTTTGCGGATGGAAAGCTGTGCTCATGCGCAACTGGACGCCCGCCATCTTGAAGATGTCTCGCCAAACGTGCTCGGTGAACACGGGTCCCGGTCGCTGACAATGGACCGCGGAAACCCGTGAAGGCGAACGATGCCGTCGAAGAAGGCACGAGCGACGGACGTAGCAGTGTAGGGGTGGCCGAGCGCGATGAAGTGGGCGTACTTGGAGAAGCGATCCACCACCGTGAGGATGACCGACTTGCCCGCAACCTTGGGCAAGCCCTCGATGAAGTCCAACCGAGATATCCGCCCACACTTGGGTGGGGGCGTCTAGGGTCGCTGCAGCAAGCCCGCCCGCGGTGAACCATCTTCGCCTTATTATACGGCACGTGGTGCAAGAACGCACCAGTCCCGCACCAACACACGATCACGAGGGATGTAGAAATCGCGCGGAGTCGATGTAGCGTCTTCTGGGTGCCCTCATGGCCAGCTGAGTGAGCCAAGAGGAGCACTTGCTGACGCAAGTCCCCTTGGTCTGGCACGTAGACGCGGGATCCATGGATCAGAAGGTCGTCAGCCAGGTGCCATGGGGCCACCAGCTCCCCCGCCTGGAGCTGCGCTAGCAGTTGATGGGCGTCAGGCGTGGCTGCTGTTGCCCGCCGGATGGCGTCCAGAAGCTCAAAGGATGGTCCCGACACGGGGAGGGCTGCTGCAGCCGCATGCCACCGTGACGGCTGCCCCCCCATCTACCAAGTCTCGGCGAGAGAGAGCGTCTGCCACGATGTTCAAGCGGCCCGGACGGTACTCTACCGAGAAGTCGAAACCAAATAGCTTGTTGATCCATTGATGCTGTGGAACTGTAGACAATCGTTGATCAAGCAAAAATTTCAAGCTGTAATGGTCAGTGCGAACCAAAAAGTGGCGCCCCCACAAATATGGGCGCCAATGGCGAACGGCTTTGAACCAAGCCGATCAACTCCGCCGTAGGCCGCCCGAGTTGATGTGACGGGTCGCGAAGGGACGGTGAAGTAGGCGAGGGCCCGGCGCTCGGTGGAGGATTTGCGCCCGAACCTGCGCTGACGCGTCGCAATGATCACGAAGGGGCTTAGTAAAGTCCGCATCCAAGAACAGTCCTGTGGTCAAAGCGCTTGAGCGCCTCGAATGCCCCGAAGCATCATCGTCCCACACAACGCGCGTCCCCGCCGCAAGAGAGAGCGCGTGAGTGGGGCGGCGATGATGCCGAAGTCCTAAATGAATTTCCGATAGTAGCCCGTGAGGCCGAGGAAACCACGCAGGCCACGGGCAGAGCGCGGCAGGGGCCACGCAGCCACGGCGGCGACCTTGTCGGCGTCCATGGCGACGCCGCCCTCGAGAGATCACGTGGCCTGTAGGCAACGACGATGCGCCAAACGAGCACTTGGATCGTTTCAAGTGAAGGTGGTGTACCCGAAGCGCGTGGAGGACGATGTTGACATGCTGCAAGTGCTCGGCCCATGATGGACTATAAATTAATATATCATCAAAAAATACCAGCACAAACCGCCGCAGGTAAGGCCGAAGGACGTCATTCATCAGCGCCTGGAAGGTTGCCGGGGCATTGGAGAGCCCAAATGGCATCACCAGAAACTCGAAGTGGCCCTGATGGGTGCGGAAAGCCGTCTTGTCGATGTCCTCCGGGTGCATGCGCACCTGATGATAGCCGGAACGAAGGTCAAGCTTGGTGAAGAAACGAGCCCCATGGAGCTCATCTAGCAACTCGTCAACCACCGGAATTGGGAATTTGTCCTTGGAGGTCTTGGCGTTGAGGGAGCGGTAGTCGATACAGAAGCGCCACGACTTGTCCGCCTTGCGCACCAGCAGGACGGGCGCGAAGAACAGCGAAGTGCTCGGCCGAATGATCCCTTGGGCAAGCATCGCTGCACATTGGCGCTCGAGCTCGTCCTTCTGCAGCTGCGGGTATCGGTACGGCCGCACCGCCACTGGGGCCGTCCCGGGCAGCAGGTGGATGCGGTGGTCGTAGGGGCGCGCCGGAGGGAGCCCAGTAGGCTCGTCGAAGATGTCACCGTGCTGCGCCAACAGGCGATCCAGGAGAGGTAGCCGCGGGTCAGTCGTGACCGCGGTCACCGGCTGCTGTGGGGAGGGCGTCTGAGGGCCGGGCACGCCCTGCCAGGTGACGCGGCGGCCCTCCCTCCAGAACGCCATGGTAAGGGCGTCGCAGTCCCACAACACGGGGCCCAATGTGCGAATGAAGTCGAAGCCGA